ATGATGGGTAGGAGATTGCTCAATTTGCAACGTCCTCCTCAGACTCTAGAAGCACTTCGAGAGGAGTTGGTGGTTGCCTGGAATGAGATACCACAGGAGGACATTGACCACCTGATCAGAAGCATGCTAGGCGCGTTGGAGAATGCGTACCCACATCAGGGTGCATCCACACATTATTAAAGGTCAAAGGGCTTTAAAGCAGTGTAATCATTTTGAAATTTTTATCATTTACTTATTATGCTTCATTAAGTACTTAAGTATACAAAATTTTATTAAAATAAAACCATTTAAACTGGGTGTTCGGATTTATATGTCACTTAGTATATGTTTTAGTCCATATTGAGAGAATTGCTAACAAAAAAGCATATTCTCCTGTATCAGCTTACATGGTATTTTTATGTATAATTTTTATTTACTTAGATTTTCCAATTTCTATTTATACGTCTGACTTCAATTCTGTTTGTTTATTTCTACTTAGTAAGACACAGCTTCGACAATTTCCATATAAAATTTATCTAAAATGGGAAAATAAAATGTACATAAATGTATGCAGTTTAAATTTAGTTAATAACAAAAACAAAATAACTAACACGTCACTAAAACTACCCAAATCTCATTCTTGTACTTAGGGCATGCGTTTTTAGTATTCCGATATTATCTTCAAAACGTATACCGCAGCAAGCTTAGACGTATAAAATAAATAAATTTCTAATTTTGGTAGAAATGACTTGATAGTGTATCTAAGTACAAGGCAGATAAAACGAAAAAGTGATCGGACGTGAATCTTTCAGGGGGGGGGGGGCACATTGCCCCACCTCTGCTAGACAGGGATATAATCAACAAAAATCACTTTTGAAATTCTTATTTTTGCTCATTGATAATCTGACTTGGGAGTAAATGATTCCTTGTACTATAATTTCGTTTTGAACATAGCTTTATGTTTGAGGAGATGTATTTCTTTAGAAATCATGCATTTTCAAATTATTACCGATTATGGATTACCTTACCGATTTTATGACCACTAATGCAAACCGATTTTAGTTGAACTGTTTTTAACTTTACTGTAGAAGCACATTTTCTAAGCATTTTCGTACTTGTGAATTAAATAAGCTGGAATCCCCAAATAATATGGAGCTTTCCGGTTTTCTTATCTCATGCTAAAATCCCTCTCCAGCTTTTGAAACTTCGTAATATTAGATAAGTTTGTGATATCTAATTTTGAGTTGCACTTTCAGGACAAGAATGAATCAGAAGAAAAAAAATGCCATATAATTTCTGGGAAATGCAAATCAATCAATTTGTCGTAATATTATAATAAAAAAAGTAGTTGAATATATAAACCTTCAATGTGAAAATTTAAACTTAAACCCATCTCACCTGTGTTTTTGAGGTTAAACTTCGCGCAACTCGCACGTTCCGGCAGAATTATAACCTCGAAGGCGACGGGAATCCAAAAAGGACTTAGATAAATTTCGCGAATGCAGTCCAATGCAGCAGAAATGAAGCAACCAGATCGAAAGTCGGTCACAAAACGTTCACTTCACCTGCTTTGCTGTTGACTGGATAGTGGATACTGGTATCGAAACAAAACAAACACCGTCGCCACCGCCAACTAGTTCGATGAAGAAGGACTCGACGCGACGCTAGGATTCGACGTCGCTGACGCGCAGACGCTCCTGCAGCGGCGTCGTCGGCGTCAAGGTCGAGTTGACGCATCAAAGTCCGGTGGCGCGAGTTTGGCGCGGCGGACGGCTGCGGCGGTAGGCAGCGACACAACACCGGAGCAAAGCTGCTCGAGAACCGGAAAGTAGGGATGTGCGGCGGTGGTGCAGTAGGTATTTGAAAGAAAGGAACGGGAATTATGCACCAATCCTACGGATTTTTTATATTGCAGCTGCGTAGGCAGAAACCTGAATAGCGGGACGCTGCGACTGCTATAAAGACGCAAAGATACCTTGTTAATCCGATTTTTGAACTGCCTAGAGTCAGCAGAACTAGGTAAAATTGTAACAGTTGCCTTTTATTGCCGATGAATAATATATTTTTTTTGTTGTTGTCGCACAGGTTTAATTTGACGTAATGCAGCAAGAACTTGAGAAGGAAGAAACAAAAGCCGATAATCTAATCTAATAATCTCGGTAGCATATTATTTTTATTCATAGCATATTATTAAATCAATTTTATTGACAAAAATGACTAGACCGGCCCATTGGCCATTTCCCAAGATAGGGCTTGTTTTTAACGGTGTATTTAGCTATATTTTTCTCACGAAATTCATAACCAAAATAAATAACACGCAAACATTTACCTATTATCATGTTTATTTAAAATAACAAACAACACATGAATACCACAGAATGACTATAATTTTTAATTTGTATGCGTTGTTTTTCTTCTGTAGTCGTTTGGCTGCCTGTATATAGTAGTCAGCATCTTCCATGTCACTGAACAATTTGGGAACTGAAACCAAATATTTCTCAATCAATTAAACATAATCCATCTTGATCTATTTTATAATCCAAAAATTTCAATTATTAAATTTAACGTACAGCAATCGCACTCCATTTTGATCATCTTTACAGTTTCTACCACTAAGTTTATAAATGTGTAGTCAGCTTTTCATGCATTCAGATAATTAATTGAAGAATTTACTCACCCTGATATGGACAATTTCTTCTTGTGTTGCCTAGTAATTTCCCTGGTTCACCATGAGTAATAATTTTAGTATTCATCTCCACATATTTTCATAAATAACTCGGTTGCTTCCATCCCATGCTAGATCTTCCACCGTCAAGAAATCAATTCAATCTCGAAATTTTCGCCTCGATGATTTGTTTACATCCCAACAACAATCCGGTTTGTCACTCCGGAGTTAAAAATAAATAAATAAATAAATGTACATCTATAAATTAATATCACCTTCTGAATTAAAAACTATTTGTGTTGCATAAATATTATTACTCACCTATTGGACTAGGTATTTCTTTTATAGTCTGATGAATTTATTATTGTTTTCTGAAATCTTCCTATGTCAAAAGCTGATGTCGAGGTACTATTCTGCGTACCGAACTACTTGCACACCTCGCTTGTTCCGCATAGTTGTCAATTTTATTTCAGAATTTCCTTATGTTTATTAATCAATCAAATTTATATGCAGATATGACAGTGTTGTCACATTTATTCACGATATCTCCTTGAATTTATATTAGGAACCTTCTCATTTTGGGATTAGCCGACAAAGTTTGGCTCTTAATGGTCAGGCGTACAACTATATTTGGAAATGTCAAGTCAAAAAAAATTAAATTTTGGGATGGGCCATCTTGTTCTGTTCCGCTAGTGCCAGAAGACCTGAAATTTTCCTCCTTTTTTGCCTGGGGTATCTTCGTTGGATTGTGGAAGAAAATTTCATAGATAATTTCCTGGGTCATTCCTGTTGTGAGTGCGTAGCATCTTTTTTTTTTGTCTACCCTAGGACCCGAGAAATTCTACAATTTGTAGGATCTTATTGTCTTCAGCCGCACTTTTCGCCAGACGGAATCACGTAAAAAACCCTACCCGACATCATCTAGGGCTTTTATTTTGGGGGAATCTTCGCTACTGGAGATCCATTGACACGTTTTCTACCGGGGACCTCTTTCCGAACAGAGACCCTTTTTCCACCATAGGGATTCTTACATCATCGGTTTTGAAGTCTTCCTCGCCCATTTTAAATTAGTTAGTCAATAAGCTTTCGCATTAAGGGAGATCTCGTAGTTTGGCTGGCTTAAATTTTTGTTGTTAGCCGTTAGTAGATGTAATAAAATGTATTGATGTTAATTTTAGCAATTATTTACCCACACAGAAAATCTATTGTTTGTATGTATTTTTGTTTTTGTTTCTTGGGGTTTTGGGCTAAAGAGTGCCTTTCAACACCAAGGCGTCTTCCAGTTTTGGCGGATAAAAGCTGGTGGCGCCCCTAAAATATATACCCTACTCTCCGGTGTACCTGAGAATAGGGCCTAATTTGCCAACGCTAAACCACGGCTTTAGCCTCAATAACCCCCTAGTCTTTTTTTAATCATCCATTTCCCCAATTGAGAGAAATAACTTTAGCTTAAAATTAAAAAGTGATTTTAATTAATAAAAAAAAAGAGCGTGGCAAAATCTCCTCAGGCAGATTATCCCACAATCTAGACACTCCACCAATAATACTGTTGTAGAGTTGTATTCCCAAATCTAAGTGTAGTTAATCCAAAAGCGAGTACAGTGCTGAAAAGGTTTCCATATGGTCCTTTTCTACTTAAATGCCAAAGTCGTTTTGTTCTCAAGATATGTCTACCATAATGCCGCCTAATATTGGACCTGTTAGATCAGAGTTCCCCAAACTTTTTTGTGTCGTAGACCCCTTGCCATGTTTTTCCGTATTGGGTAGACCCCCTACTTACCTGTTATTGATTTCCTGTAAATTTCTAACTGTAGTGAAGTTTAGTGTTAAAAACTTAAAGTAAAAACACATGTTAATTTATACATTTATTAATTGAATTTAAATTCAAACTACTCAAAACAAAATTTTGTATCTGTTATGTAAAACATTAAATAAACAGGTGTCTGACCAATAAGTGCCCGCATTGGGAATAAGTGCCCGCATTGAAAAAAAAAATAAGAGGGATAAAATGAAAAAAAAGTGAAAAATAATAAAAAAAAGGTTTTTACTCAAAATAGTACAATAAGCGAGTTCGTTTATTAATTATAACATAAACGTATATTCTACAATAATTTCACTGTTAGTTGGATTAAATTCCGCTTCTTATACGTTTAAGTTATCTAAAAATAGGCAAAAAATTTACGAATTTTAGTGTGTACCTATCCTTGAATTTTTAGAATAATTTAAAAAAAAATATTTTCTATAAAGGGGGGTTCTTTAAAAAAATCAATGCGGGCACTTATTCCCAATGCGGGCATTTATTGGTCAGACACCAATAAACTATAAATAAAATAACATAAGCAATAAGTCAATATTTTTAGTGAGAAGGATGAACCTGATGCTTTAATAATAAATTATCAACATTTGGCGTCAATTTTGTAAGGGTTAATCTTAAATCTCCTCGGCTAATGACGTCCAGTCTGTTTCTTTTTTTCGTTAGGAGATTGGTAACAGCGCTGAACCCCCTTTCCACTAGGTATGACGATAGAAAGGAAATTAAAAATTTCCTCGCTATATTCCATAATACGGGATAAGTAACGGGTATGTTGTTTTGCAGCCAGAATTGCTGATATCCGTTTTTAAACTGAACCTTAAGTTCTTCGTTTGTACTTAGTTCAGTTAGTTCCTCTTGTATTATGACATTCGTTTCTTCTATGTCACCATATGGATTAATTATCCACGGTGGTATTACCATAGTCAAAATATCCTCAAACCTAGATTCAAAATCTGAATAGAGGGCATTTAAATGTTGTACGTAAGTTGAAACGTCGTCTTCCTGGCAGCTTGTCTGTGACAAATTGGGGAACTGAAAAAATTCGCCCCGTCCAATATTTTGCTTCATTAGTTTAACTCTGACAAGAAAAGCTGATAAGATGGACTTTTTAATCAAATTTAAACTGTCGCCTTGTAATTGCAAATTAACCATATTAAATTTTGTAAACAAATCTGTTAAATAGGCGATGTCTGTTTTCCTCTTCATTAAATTTTCTTTTAAAATTTTATCTTTAGTATCCAGAAATTCTAAAATAGTCTCAAAAACTGCAAAAAATCTTGTCAAACATAAGCCTTTCGACAGCCAGCGTACTTCAGTGTGAAGGAGTAATTGATGAAAGTGTTCGTCATTTTCTTCACATAACTGCGCAAATAACGGCGTATTCAACGCATTGCTTCGGATGCGGTTTACTGCATCAATGACTAAATGAAGTGATTCATGCAATCTAACACTCAAATTTTTAGCAACTAAATATTGTCGATGGATGACGCAATGTATTGCTAACACCCCTGACACATTTTGTTTTAAATAGCTTATAAACCCACGATAACGTCCAACCATGGCAGGTGCTCCATCTGTAGCTACTGATATTATATTTGATAAAGGAATTGCTTTTTCAATGAAGTAATCCTTCAAAACATGAAATATTGATTCACCTTTAGTGTCGGTTATCAAAGTTCTTGCGAAGAGCAGTTCTTCGTAGATTTCTTGATTCAAAATAAAAAGAACATATGCCAATAATAATGCTGCATTATCAGGTAAAGTTGACTCCTCCAGTTGTATAGAGAAATGGGTCGTTTGCAAATAATTACATAAGAAGCTTTCAATATCAGAACTCATTTCATCAATACGTCTTTTAACAGTATTGTTGCTTAAGGGAATTCTTTTAATGATATCAGATGCAGGTTTGTGTAAAACAGTTTTTAAAACCTCTTCAACGGCTGGCAAAATTAACTTCTCTCCGATAGTATGCGGTTTTCCGGATTTTGCTATAAGTAACGAGATATTATAAGACACCCGGAAACCATCATCATTTCTTTGTGACGTCGGCGTCGAAGCGAACATTCTGTCCAGTGTAGGTCTCTTCTGAAATTTATCTTTGAGTGTTTGAAAGTATTTCAAATCTTTCTCTGTTTTATCAGGGTGGCATCTTCTCAGATGATCTTGCAGTTTAGATGGTTTCATAGCGTCATTGCCCAAAACTTTGTTGCATAAAAGGCACATAGGCGATTGTTTGTCCGGCAATGATGGAATGAAGCCAAATTTCAAATAATCAACACTGTACTGTCTACATTTCTTTTTAGATTCGGAGATGGCATCAGTCATCTGTGAGCAAAATTAAATTATTTAAATAAGACAGAAAATTCAGCAGCTGTATATTAAAAATATTTTTTGATTTATCCGAAAACATTCCATAATTCGAACATCTTCTTGCAACAATTAGCTCGAATTACGGAGATTGCACTGTAATTATATTGAAGATTGCTAAAACTTTCAAAAAGAGACTTTTGAGGAGTACTCGTGTAATTTTGCATGATTGAATATTTAACTACTAATAACTAAAGTCATGATTGGCGTAATTTATCTATCTTTGCTAACTACGAGTACAAAATTAAAATTTAATAAAAAATAATGTACTTACTTTTCTCCAGCACTCTCAAACAAAATATACACTGACTCACTATAATTTGTGTGATATACTATCTGTTTATATTTTTTAAAATATCTTCTTAGCACTTTCCTTTTCAAGATTCAGGAAACGAATAAACGTATTTGTCCCACATTCGTATTTATAGAGTGACGAATTGAACAAGTCAGTGCAAGGTAGCGAAGCTCTGAGACTGCGACTCTCAGGTTTTTACAAGTTGAAAATGTATTGCGACCACAAAGCGAATACCAGCATCCTACAACTTACACAATTTTATAAACATATATAATACATTTTTTACTTCATAGGTACTTTTATAATGTATATGTTTTGATATTATAAGATAGTATGATGTAAGTAAATAGGTACTATCAGTGTATGTGTTGAGATCCACTATCGTGGACCCCCATATTCATTTCATGGACCCCCAAATTTTTTTTCGCTGACGTAGACCCCTTGCAGGTTGTCATAGACCCCTAGGGGTCGATATAGACCACTTTGGGAATCAATGTGTTAGATGAACCCATCAGGCCTTTTCTATTTCTATTGTGCTTAAACACTTACATTAAGGAACAATTGTTAGTCGTATTAGCACTAGATCGTTGGTATCAATCTGTATACGGTTAAATTATTGTCTGATTCCCGTTATATAATTGCGCCTTTTTTGTGTGAAGTGAAAGGGTCGACTCGACTGTTTAATATTACTACCATACCAAGGGCGAAACAACTCTATATATAAACGGGTTCGTGAATGCATTAATTTTCGTCAAAATGATATGTTCCGCGGTTCATCATATCATCAGACGTTCCATCATAAGCTGACCTCTACCTATAGAATTGAGACTTATAGATGACAGCGAGACTTCCACACTTGTTCTCTCGAAAATGATTCAGGGAGCAGCTATTCTATCAGTGTTCACGAATACCGTTCCTCGAAAGTTAAGAGAACCAGTCCCACCTTCTGACAGTTATTCTATTCCAGCATTTCTAGAATTCATGTGTGTAATTAGAAAGTACAGGGTGCGGCAGAGAGGATGGACGGTTTTAAAAAAATCATAAAATAGTTAATTTTTACTCGAAAACAAATTTATTGATGGAATCAGGTTGACAAGGAATTAGCATTGGCCGAAACCGTTGATGCAGTGCTGGAGGCGTTCTTGGAAGTTCGCGTAGACATCGACTTACCGAACGATCACTAAGGCGAAGTGCAGCACCTGTCGAACGCGTTCAACATTTTCAGGAGTTCGAATTGTTCGCGGCGCTCCTCTTGGTCTTCTGTTGATCAGTTCACCACGCCTGCGAAGTGATTCAACCCAACGAAGGATGGTATTTCGAGAGGGAACAGCTCTATTCCGATGAATGTTGAAGTGGCGACGAAACTCACGCTGTACGGCGATGACTGACTCATTATTTCGCACGAAACAATCATAGGCGAAAACGCGGTGCTCCACCGTCCAAGGCTCCATAACGACAACTGGTAAAATAATGCTATATAGGATCTCATGAGTCAAACGTCACCCTCCCCACCTCTCTCGTAGACGGAGGCGGAGAGTACTACCCATCCCAAAAACATCCGTCCTCTCCGCCGAACCCTGTACATATACTATGAACGTTCTGTCAGCCTACTTCGATTCTATCTCACTTGGGAAATAATTTGATTTCAAGAGAATCTGTTCAAACCGTTTCCCAAGCTAATACATTTTGTATCAAATTGACATATATTTAATATCATTGTACAAATGGATAAACATTTTGCACGTTGTATTGTTGTTTATATTACTCATACTGTGCTCACACCTAGAATTTACCTTACGTTATCTTATCACCACTTAGTTTTCACTGTTTCGATTCATATTGATAGCAGTACAACATGCATCTGCTAAAGTTATATATATCATACACTACTATAACGCTCTACATTTTGCTTGGTTTGGGTTACTTTTGTAAAGCAAGTGATCCTTGTAGTAATGACACTATCCAAAATTTGTGTTGGCAGCAGGAAACATGCGAAGAGTGTTTGCAGATCCATGAATGCTGCCATTATTGTTATGACGAGGTGAGTCAAACAGATTTACTAATAGTTGCTAGTTTATTCAAATCTATGCGCAATCAAAGTTTAGCAACATTTAAATAAATTATTTAGATAATTATACAATTAAAAACTTATTCGCAGGATAATTATTCGTAAATACTCGATTGTAGAATGAATTATCCTAAAATAAATGGTTAACGAGTACATTATTAGCGATTTTATTGATTATTTCGAATATACAAGTAATGTCTCAGGATTTTGCAGACGAAGATCGTGGTCTGGAAGTTTTAGATCGCTATCCTAAAATAAAAACAATTTTCCTAAGTTACAATACCTACACCAATGCTTTCATCTCCATTAGTAGACCGCATGAAGAAAAAATGGTGTTAGAAATTAATTTAAAGAAATACTCATAAAAGCATATAAAAACCTGCTAAATTAGAGTAAATACACATTGGATTTTAAAGCCATTATGCCTCTCCCCATACGGTCTTATTTGTACTCGACATTCGTCATTCGGATTATTATTGTTTAAATAAATGAAACGTGAATAATTTAAAAAGCAATTTATTCAATCATGTTTTGTCATTCGAATGAATTTTGCCCAACTCTTCATAAGTATACCTACCAGGAAATAAAGTATTCTCCACGATGATTCTTCTTTCGGGGTTGATTTTTCGAAGCTCGGTGATGACTTTTGGCAAACAAATGGTGGTATACCAATCCGCAGTAACAGTTCTTTGCTCATTAAGAGAAATTGTTGCAATATGACACAAATGTCGCGACCATCTTTTTCGAAACACTTCGAGAACTAATGACTTTTGTTGGCTTTTCTTCACCTTGGAACACAAAAACAGCCGACTGTCGTTTATTTTCTGCTTGATAACAGTAAATCCTCGATTGATCACCACTAACAATACTGTACACATTTCTTGAGTTTCCGGAATTGAAACGGTGAAGCGTTTTTTCACACCAAATAACCCTGGCTGCTTTCTGCTCGTCAGTCAACAGGTGGGGTATCCAACGAGAAACTAATTTTCTTACTCCTAATTCTTCATGTAAAATTTTTTGAATTGCGGTCTTTGAGATCTTCAAGAACGTCTCAATCTCGCGATATGTCACATGTCTATCTTCAATGATGAGTTTGCGCACAGCATCGACAGTAACTCAACAAGGCATTCTTGTTGTGATAATTGTCTCTGAAAGTTGTAATAAATTATGGCGCGAAAATGTTCTCGGTTGAGTTCCATTTTTCTAATGACTTGGTGACACTTAAAAATTCACTGTAGTGAGAACACTGCACGTATTGTTGTGAAACTTTGAATTTAAGTTTTGTAAAGAGTGAGGTTAAGATTCAGTACTGACGTTCGATCCGCGCGGCCTACTATCTTTCTATATGCAAAACTTAAAAGACATCCCTCGTATCGAAACCCGCCTTCCTAGAAAAGTTAACAACGAGCTCCACCTCCTTAAAGCTGCAGAGAACTGAAGAGTTGGTACCTAGTCTATTCTCCCAAAGCCTTAACAGAGACTCGGAGTCTGCATATTTCAGATCCTCTGCTAATTCTTTGGTATGACGGTGCCGTTTAAATGCGTTGTGTGGCCTGACACAGTATCACTAGGAACCTTAGTTTGTCTCTATCCAGAGTAGGCAAACACGTCTACCCTCATCACCAGGCCATGAAATGAATTGTTGAACATGACATATACATATACTCAATTTTCGGGAGTGTTTCCACGAAATCCGCTCCTCTGTCCTACCTTTAAATTTTTGCCTAAGGCTGACATAGTACCATCGTAGTGCAAAACATGTGGTTCCCTCACCTCCTGGACGTATCGCACGGCAGTCATGATGCCTCCGATAGACACCAAAGGTAACCAGCGTGATGCACATGCGATTCCATAGAAAATTGAGAAACTCGTCTTTTATCTCGTCGCCTTCTCACCCTTGCACGGCCATTGTAAATCTCCAAACAAAATCAGGATTCATTACTAAAGACAACTGTATATCGTTCGAGGTCCCAGTTCAGTCGTTCTCTCAACAAGTCAGTCGATCACTGAGGTGCCTAAGAGTGAGAGGTAGGACAAACCGAGGACGGTGTCTCTAACACTGTTGATCCATCGATAAAAAATTCGCATTGTAATAGCTCTCCAAACTATTCGTCCGCAATTGAACGTGTGAACGAGAAGCGGTCCCGTAGAGCCAAAAGCCTAAGCGATCTTGGTGTGGGGCCATTCTCCTGACTCGCCCTGTACTTCTAACTCTTCATGTACGACCTAACTCATTCCATACCTGACAACAAACCACCGCAGTACTTATGGTTTGTTCGTACAGTGGTCGGTGACTTGTTGGCAACTGTGCTTGGGATCCTGCCGTGTGAACTCCTTCTACATCGCATAGCAGAATGAATGGAATTTGTGTGACGGGATCTTGGACATGATCACTGACTGGTTGGCGACAGCTGTACGAATAGGGTAGACTTATGTGCACATTGGTAACTATTTTTCTAAAGGACCAACCAGCCCTACACAACCTCACTGTCGCCCCCTACCAAACTCACTAAACTGTTGAAAATTTTCTGGTCTTCTCAGTCTAGGCATAATGAACAGATTAAAGCAGGTCTTCTCAACGTATTCTACGACGATCAAATGCCAATTGGAGCTACAAAACACAACTATCGCTAGCTTACTTTTTTTGTAAGAACAGACAATATCACGAAAACGACTTTATCTATATGGTTGAAAAGCTGAACCTCTTTTGTCTTAACCTAAACAAAAATATGGTATACCTAGAAAAACCTTGTAATAAATTCGTTATTACTCGGTGTTATTTGTTCAATGCCACTTAGTATACAATGAGGCTCCACTACATAGTGAAACTCCCGTCATACTTTTCTTGACTCTACTCGTATACCTTCTCAGAGACCTTCTGGTCCCTAGATGTCTGATCCTCCTTCGTCAGATACATTACAGTTACTCCACAAGCATGGCGCGGTGCTACTGACCGATTATGAGTTTATAGCAGTTACCCGTTTACACAACCTAAAGTACTCTCACCACATCCAGCTATCTTGTCTTAAATATATTGTCTTTATATAGGATTTTGCATTCAAGTAAAGTATCTAACGAAAATTTAAGACGGAAAATTCGTGATAACTTCGTTTTCAGGTGTTGTACTGTCCTTGAAAAAACAGACTTTGGAAAAATCTTAATAATTATGTATCTGGTTTTGTCAATTCAGTGATTTTAAATCTGGATATCTATTAAGGGTCATGGTCAGTTGTAGTTTTAATAATGTTTTCTTTCAGCGAAATTTTCTTTGAAACGTCTATACCTGCAAATTAAAACATATTTTAAAAAAATCGACTTAATATTACGATTTTCAAAAATAAGTTTGACGCTCTGAACTTTGATAACGAAGCAATATCTGATATCCGTTTATGCTAACTCTTCGTTGTGAGATCATTATTTGAAGTTTGGCCAGATACTAACGTTAATTGTTGATATATCAACACCTGTGTAGTATTCCACTGTTGAATTGAAGGAGGAGGTAGTAGAGATAAACGTCATTTCTATATACAGTAAAACTTACTTACTTTTTTGCTTTTGGCTTTGAATGTGCTCGAAAGAGACAGGATAGTGCAATACTGATGTTAGAAAGAGTGCGCCATATAAGCGTCGTCGCCACGTTGTCTGGCAACGATAATGGGGGAGGAGTTACAGCCACGCTTTGTGTCCTCCCCCACAGTCGTTGCCAGGTAAGATGGTGATCACGCTGATTTGGCGCACTCTTTCTGATATACATGTAGCACGTTTCTGTCGGTTTCGTACACATTGAAAGCTAAGACCAAAAAAGTAAATGAATTTCACTGTGGGCGCCATCTTGGAAAAAAATCATATGAAAACGGGGTCTTGTGGCACATCATTTTGAAGCTCCTGACGAGTACTTTATAACCCTAGAATATAAAGTGAATACCTTTATCCACTACAAAATGGTGGTACGTTTAATAATTACTTGAACATAAACCCACTAACATGCAAATCTATACAAATAATTGTAATTCCCTGCCGTACCCACAGCAATAGCGATAAAAACTTGTTTTGTTATTTTTTGTTGACAGTGACAAGAACATCAGTAGGAAAACAAACATCATTGTACAGTTAAACTATTCTTATTTAGTTTTCGGTTTTGATGCTAGATACTGTTAGAATTATTTTAAAATGGTCAATTCTCGTCCACTGGAAGAAAAAATCGAAACGATTTTTATTTATGGTGCGACGCGTAACTTTCACGAGACCGAAAAGATTTTTAATGATCGTTTCCCGAATCATCCTAACTGTAGAAAATATTTAAGGAAACTTGTATCTAAATTTACAGCTACTGGTAGTCTAAACAACAAAAAGCCCCTAGGTCATCCGACCATCCCGGAAGAAAGGCTAGTTCAAATAATTGGTGAGATCATAGTAAATCACCAACAGTCTGCTTCCTCCATTGTGAGTGTATGTGAGGTTTGTCCTTCTACTGTATGATGGAGACTTTTGAAAAAGAATAAGTATCACCCATACAAAATTCAAATGGTACATCAGCTAACTGAAGAAGACCCTGATCGAAGAACAGAATTCTGCGAGTCTTCGTCGGAAAATATTGCACGGCATCCTAACTATATCCAAAATATTTATTTTAGTGATGAATGTAAATTTTTTCTCAACGGTAATGTGCATAGACAAAATTGTCGTTATTGGAGTGACACCAATTCTCACGTCGGCCGGGAAACTCATACTCAATATCCATAAAAAATTAAAGTGTTTGCTGGGATATTAGGAAATCATATTGTGGGGCCTCTTTCATTGAACAAACTTTAACCGGAGAACTGTATTTGGATATGCGGGAAAATACTATTGACCCTCTAATCACCGAAATCGTCGAAGCGTATCCTAATGACTTCGATACTGATATTGTATTCCAGTAAGATGGTACTCCACCACACTACTACGGACAAGTTAGGAATTATTTAGATGGGTGA